ACATGGCTATCGTTCACCCTAATTAATACTTATTGTTAACAGAGGTTCAAGATGTTTGCCGCAGCTAACTTGGCAAGCACAAAAAGGGCTAATTCAGCAATTCTACTGACTAAAATTTCATGTGGTACACTCTAAAAATGAAATGTTGGATTTACTTAACCATRTTATGTTACCTGGTTCCACTTAGCTGAGTTCAGTAAATTCAAGGCAACATACTCATGTTCTTTGGCTAAAAAACTGGTATATTGCTTTGAATTTACTCAACTCAGTTAAGTGGAACCAGGTAACATAACATGGTTAAGTAAATCCAACATTTCATTTTTTTACAGTGTATATCAGCTGTGAGTGATTCACAACCACACACTAAGAGCTGATAATCTCAGAAGATCCCACAATGTCACATGAGATAGTATGAAATGTCACTTATAACGTTTAACCAATGTCTCTATGCTCCTTTTCATCATAGGACCATTGTTGTTTACAACAAAATATACATTCCATCAGTCTGGGCACTCATGCATTCGGCATCACACACTAACACATCCAGGTGGAACATACAGTCATATGAAAAAGCAGTGGCGGGCCGTGCATTTTATACCTAGGCCWTCAGTTAGGAGAGAACGGACCTGCCGGACGCGGAGAAGCGGAGGGGGGGACCCACGGACGCACGGACGGGCGGCCGACACACGCTGCTGACTGCGGAGTCCGCAGCGGCAGGAAGAGCAGGAAGGGAGAGGCTGCTAGCTCTAAACTTAATAAGTTTATAATAAAAAAATAAGTATAAGACATTCCTATAGGTCTGTATGCAAAACAGGGGAAAACTTGTCTAATTTACAGACAATCTGTACAATTTGACACTATTGAATCCACAGCGACAAAAACCATCAATAACACACAGAAACACAGAACAATATGCTGCTGCACCACAGACAGACAGGTGTCTCTGCACCACAGACAGACAGGTGTCTCTGCACCACAGACAGGTGTCTCACGAAGCCAGAATGGATTAAGTCATCACTGAAGCGACACATTTAACAAATTTTCTCAACTGCAGCCACAGCTGTGCCATACATTAACAACAACATCAATACGGTTATATGATAAGCAGATAACTAAATAAAACTTTAAAATAACATATTTTACTCACCGAAACTTTTTATTATCCGTTTAAAAACTCCATCCTCCTTTTATTTCTCAAGAAAAGTCCGGCTCCTCTGTCATACAGGTCCTCATGGCATTTCGTTTCAACAAGTCCTTTTCCATCACCACCATGAAGCTAACACTGAAAGTCCAGTCTGCTCTGTTCTGTATTTTTATTATAAGTTTTAATTTCCTGTTACGCAGAGAATGTCCGCTCAGCATTTAGCTTATAAGATGCTACAGAAATCYAGTTTCCTGGTTCTGACTCCTGCTCTCTGATCAGCCAATCAAACGATGAGAAAATGTTGACGGTGTGCGAGGCCAGCTAGTGGGCTCTGGTGTCTTCACCTCAGCACCTGATTGGTCAAAGCAACACTATCGCTGCATGTGTTTCACCCGCCCGGTGCCTTTGCTGTTCGTTCTGAAGGCCTGAGGCAGATTTGTGGATCCTAGAAACAGACGATGATCGAAATATGATTGGATAAAAGCTCTAAATAAACACAAGCTGCTGGAAGCTGCGCAGCCAGGAGAAAAACTATGAAATGAAGAGAACAGATATTTCAAAAATAATATCCTAATAATAATAATAATATTAATAACTATTGAAATAAATATAAAATATTCTATAATGTAGTGATTTTGATTGTGTTTACGCCAGAAGAGAAGGCTTTGCTGGCCCTGATGGCACACC